TCGGTCCCAAGTTGACTTTCAGCACGTTGTACTCTCTGTGTGACTAGTTCATTGTAGGAACAGGCAGACAAAGGAGAGGGAGGAATGGGTAGGTCATCCCAACACTTTTGGTCAGGAGCATAGCTTTAAAATGACAGCGTAACCTTTGCATAGGGATGCTGCCTGTTGTTAGGCCTGTGCTGGGGGATATAGCCAAAGGTATGGATTCTGTGGTGGGCAGTGACCCGGGCTTGTTGGTGGGTGCCACCCTTAGGTCCTGCCTTTGCTGATGCGTAGAGCTCTGTAGATGCAGGCAGCCCTGTATTGTCCAGGAGTAGCAACACATACGTCTGAGAACTTGCTGCAGTATGCAAATGAAAAACACCGCTTTTGATGTTATGTGTAAGATTTGCAGTCATTCCTGCACGAATCTGATTTTTCTCTTGCAACAGCCTGGGACGCTGTTACAGCTTACTGTCATCTGCATTCCCTTTTTCCTGGCTGTAGCTTTTGCCCGTGCTTTGCTACCATGAGTCTAAGTGCTTTCTTACTGGAGTTAGGGAAGCAAGTTGTGCTTGTGGCCTGTGGGGGAATTAGGAGGACTATGGCTGAATATTCTGATAGTCCTTCTGGACTGAACTTTTATTTCAGGGTTCTCTGCAACGGATGGTTCTGAGGGTTAGGAAGGAATGTAACTCTGCTGCTTACAGTTGCTGGGGGAATTCACAATTAAAAAAAAAAAAGCCTAAAAAAGGGGTAGTTGGGAAGTTACAAAAAATACAACAAAAATCCACTGTTTAAAAAGCCCAACTCCTGAGGTAGAGGGTTACTTGCTATACGCTAATCAGTAAGGACTTCACCACCCAGTTTCAGCAGGTGGAATGTTAACATCTTAATGGTAAAATGGGAGCCGAAGAGGTAGGCCTACAAAAGGTGGACCTGCTTGTATAGACCTAACATATACATATGTGCATTTTAAATAGGTACTTGAGACCAAAAAAGATTATAACGATAGCATTAAAAATAAAAAGGGAATTAGATTACAAAAGTTCTCCATGATAACTAAGCCTTACATCAACTCTAAGCTAAGAAAAGTAGTGAAGAAAATCAAATCAGGTAGACAACTATAGTAATGAAGCATTTCATGTTGATAAATGGAATATTAAATTCCACTTATCCAGTCTGAACAGAACATGTGGATACCTTTAGCCTACTTAAATACTTAAAGAGTCAGAATTATTCAGGTGAATATTAAAATGAGTATAGCACACTAGGTTGTATGAGTGACCTGTTATGCTGTGAGTGAAGGACTGTGCCTTGTCTTGAGTAGGCTGCAATCCAAGCTGCGCATTCAGGGACATGATTCAGCTAGCATGAAGTTCCAGGTTATGTGTATTAACTGAGTGATTGTCAAACATGAGAAAATCCGAAATGTTTTCACGTACTGCAAAGCAGCCTAAGGTATGTGGCTTGTTGTTTCCTGCAGACCAAATCTGTGCACCCATGCTGTTGTCACAGTTTAGCTGATGTGTGGTAGGTGGAACGCTTGACTGTGGCTCTGAGTCCTGGGTAGGACGAGAAGACTGTGTAAACGAAGTATCTGGCTGCTGGAGAAGTGGGAACAGAAGATGATGTAGACAAGATGAGGTGGTGGGTTTGCAGAAGAGGCTTTGCTTGCACAATGGTAGGTTCTCTTTATCAGTAACACTTTTGTTATGTGATTTGTTTGGAAGGATAGAACACAAAGACATGGTGTAAGAAGGAATTTGGAATGGGTTGAAGGAGATACAGGAGCAGGTAGTCTTATGGTTTCTGTAGAGGCTACTGGAAGCCTTAGCACAGTGCTACTTCATTGTGTGAACTTCATCTTGGAATAATAGGGTACAATAAGGAGAGAGGGAGAAAGCAGAAAAATATCACTCTTACTTCTAGCCTTCCAAAAAGAGTGTATCAGAAAGTGTTTAGCTGTTACTTCTCCCTCTTTGCTCACAGCAGAGAAGTTAACTGGTGTGGAATGGGAAATCTGTCTCCGTATAAAATGAAGTAGAAAAGAGGAGGAAGGGTTCCTTAGAAATTTAGAAAACATGTGATGACACATGTTTTCTTTAGAAGCTCCAAGATATGTGGTAGAGACCTTATGCAACGTTTCTGTATGATGTATAATTTCCTTGAAAAAAGGAAGCTGACAGCATTGAGTGGGAGGTTTCTTCACGTTTTCACTAGAGTAGTGAAGCAGAGAAGTAAAAGTGTCCAATCCCTGGTTTTAGACAGGAGATGACAGTTATTCTGAAAGGATAACCTTTTCCCTGTCTTGCTCCTGGGAGCCCTGAGTGTCCTTGGTCTCAGTTCCTTGCTGCCAAGCCTTTGTTTCACCAGCCAGCAAGAAGAGAGTGCGCTGAAGAGGGCAGCACTCGCCCAAGCCACGCAGAAGGTGTGGAGGGAAAATGTGTTTTCTTTTTAGCTCTGCTTTCCTCCAGTCTCATTTCTGGGCTTGAAGAAGAAACAATCTTACCCTCATAACTCCAGCCTAGCTCTTATGACTAACTGAAAGAGAGCAAAGATATGGAGAGTTTACATGCATCAACACCCAGGCTTAGGAAGTTAGTGGGCTGAGCGGTGGTGGCTGTCCTTGCTCGTGTTCTTACTCCCCAGCAAATGGCTGCTTTCCTCCCAGAAGGGAGTCGCATTACCTTGCTCTTGTCAACAGCCACTGTGGCTTGGCTTATGCATGCTGATGTTAAGCCACCACAGATTGGTTTTGTCTGTGAGCTGAAGTAACTGGGAGGTAGAATTTCACAGTGGGTAGAGAAGGGAGTTTTTCTCCATGCTAGGAATACTAAAAGTCCCTAGGCAGTGAGAGATGACTTCTTGAGGAAAACGCACTCCTAGAAATTGTCTTTATGAAGCAAAAGTTTCTGACAAGACTGCAAGCTTCATCGGATCAAAACAGTGCTTCATCTTGCCCAGCACCCTGCCTTTGACCACAAGGTTTCCAAACATAAATGTTGGAGCTCCTGGGTTCTTCTCTTTTCTGGAAACTGTTAACTGAAATGGGTGGGAAGAGATGCTCATACTGGAGCAGCAGGAGCAAGTGAGATGTTTAAATCTGTCTGAACAGGATAGAAGACAAAGAAAGGTGGGTGGGTTGTGTTGAAAAGATGTGGGAGTGATAGCTGAGCCGTCTTAAGCCTGTTTACTTTTCCAGTTACTGTGCCTGGAAAAGGCCACAGTGTAAGTGCAGACAAGAAGAACTAGAAACTGTAGTGGCATGAGAAGAGTACTTTCATGGGTAAATTGGAAACAAATTGGATAGTCCATGAGAAGTAAGGCATGGAGAACAGCTTCTGTGTGTGCAGTTCTGTACCCAAGCACAGAAGTGCGTTTCCCATTGCTTGCCTTCAGTCTCTTGTCTGAGAAAGTCTTTGTTTCTATGGTGTGGTACCAAGCAGAAGACCAGGACACTTAGTATGCTTGCAAGCATTGTTCTTTGCTGGTGACCTAATCTAATGACTGGCCTGGCTGACCTCCCAGGTGCTTTCATATGGAAAGGAGATAGGATGTGGAGAAGATGGGCTATAGTTTGTTTTGTGGACTCATATACAATGAAGGGAAGTGACTTCTTGTTTTGATGTGATAAAGCTGTAGTATCCACATTGATTTATGAACAGCAGTAAGTTTTCATACGATGGTGACATGAGAAGCCAAGGAAGCACAGAATGATATAGAGATCGGTGGGTCCTTGACTTGATGCCATTTAGGAATCAAAAAAAACCCCAAACAAACGCAAAAGCCAAAACAAACCCCAAATAGTAGCTGTCACTTGGGAGCAGTTGGCTTGAGGAGTAGGCTTTTGAAATATTTCTCTTTCACCATGCACAGTTGCTGTTTAAAGGGAAGTTTTCCATTGTCCATATTGGGAATCTTGCCTTAATATGAGACCTCATTTATATCTTAATCATGCCCTTCTTCAACTTAGTAGTAAAAAGTTGCCAGCTACCGTGAAGCAGAATCAAGTGTATACAAGTGTTAATACGAGTGTAAGTTGAACTCAGTATTGGCATGTTTTTGTCTCTGTCCACATACGTGTCTGCCATGGCAGTAGTCTTGTGATATTTTAGAGCTATTCAGAAGTGGGAGGTGATTGCTGAAGACTGAAGCAGGGACACAGAGATGCTAATGGTTAACAGTATCCCTTCCCCACAGCAGAATTTTGTCTCATCTATTAGATCAGTAGATTATTTTTTTTCACACGTGTAGCTGTTTTTAATAAAAAATAGGGAAAATCTTTTATCCCTCTTCTTTTCTGTTGTTGTTTATTTATATTGAATGTTTGGGCTTTTTTTAGGAAAATATGATTGATTCAAAACTGATAGCAGATAAGATTTCTGGACAGCTCCCGCTTCTTGCTTGTAGCTCTGCTAAATCTCAGAGATTGGGATGCTATTTCACATATATTGGCTGTGAATAAACTTGCTTCAGTGACATTTCCAAAGGAAATCCCTAGTATCCTCATGATTTCAGAGCAGGTGCTTTGAACCGAGTAGCAGTTTTGTGTCAGAAGTGTGCTTTTTACTAACTCTGTGAATATTCATGCTGGAAAAATTGCAGTTTGTTTGCTCAGCAGGAGCTTCAGTCTGGGCATCCTGCAACAAGATGCTGAGAGAGATTTAGCTAACGACAACAATTCTTCATTTCATTTTTTTCACAAGACCACGAGCATCAAGCCTAATTCAAGTGAACAGAGGGAAAGTACTGAGGACAGAGGAGTTTAGGGTAGGGAAGAAGATCAGGACAATGATTCTACCTGGGAACAGAATGTGGAAACCGGATCCACTTTGCAGTGCCTGCCACATGATTGTGCAGACAAGCTGGGTTTGGGTAATTCTTAACTGACACATGCCTTACTTTGCAACATTGTGATGTGCTTCTAACCTAAATTTGAATGTCTCTGGTAATGTATACAGCATTAGTCAAGTAATAGTTTATAAACCAATTGTTAAAGTAACTTTTTTCCCCTCTAGCACACATCCACTGCGAGGACGTGTTTGGCATCGTGGGAGAAAATTTTACTTTTCCAGTAAAAATACACCAAAAAAAAGTGGAAGTTATTTGGATGAGAAACAAGGATAAGGTGGCTGAATGGGAGGGGCAAGACAAACCGAAGTATTTTACTTCTCTCCGTGACAGAGGCTTGCTTAACGAGGAGAATGGTGGCTTGACAATATTTAATTTGGAGTACAATGATGCTGGAACATATGTTTTAGAATACTTGGATTCTATGCAAAATGAGTTAACCTTCATACTTTCTGTGTTAGGTAAGTAGTGGAAGAACTGCATAAAGAATTTACACCACTTTATTTGCTTTAAGAAGGCCAGAAAGGGGTTTGTTTAATTGTCAGGGAAGGAAACAAACAGAGGGGGACTGCTCTTTGGCTCTGTTGTTAAGTTGCTTAAGCATTTTAAACAAATTTTCATAGTAAGCATCTAATTTGTGTGCCCATCATTACTCACCTTGGAATGACTTCTAGAATGTGTGTAAATGGCACAATGTGTACTTTCAGGTAGATGACCAAACTCGTTAAGCAAGCTGACCAAGTTATCCCAGTCAATGTGTGCCTATTTAAGATACTCCTGCAGGCATATTATATGTGCTTGAATATCTGTGGCATCATCCTGTGCAGATCTGTGCAGCTTCAGTAGTAGACTTTGGGAAATATATTTGACCAGTGTGTATATTAGTCCTATTGACAATGAACCATGAGGAGTCTTAAACTAGGTTCTGAAGAACCACAAACGGGGCCACTTTTAGAAACTAATTTCGCTCTCATGCACATGTGTGTGCATACGTATGCACACCTTACACATACACTTTTATCTTTTAAAAGATATCTTTTATCAGCTTTTGTTGCTCCAGCCCTTGTCCCATGCTAAAATTTGAGGAAGTTTATAACCAAAGTAATGCAGAATGTTTTTTCTCCTTTTAGCTCCCCCTTCAGAACCTGAAATAAGTTGCAACGTCAGTGGTGATAACCTTGTGTTAAAATGTGCAGCAGATTTCGAGAAGCCTCTGAATTATGCTTGGAAGTTCAGTAGCATACACGTCACTGATCAGACCCAGGAAGTTTTCATCCGTAAGAATGATGTTGATGCTTCTGAGAAAGCTGAATGTTTCATTAAATTCTCTCAAACGGAAAAAAGCTCTGAAATCTCTTTGGCTCAATGCTTTCCAGATAAAAAAGGTAATGAATAGTTCAGGTTGTATACGCAAGTCTGAGAGGCTAGGTTGGGAAGCAGCATGGACTTTGTTAAGATTTTTACCATTTTCCCAGGAAGTTGAATTTAAAGAGTAAAAGGCATCAGGAGTGATTTATCTGCTAAAAGTGTGTTTAAGGTTGGTGAAAGGTGTGAGGATGACAGTTTGATCCCCCCTGGAAAGATACTTTTTGCAGGAATCTTGACAGAGTAAAACCTTCAGCTGTGACTTGAAATGAGTAATAATAAAGAGGGAGACACACTTAGAAGATCTCTTATGAACTTTCTGGCCTTGTAATTAATGCTAATGACTATTGTGCTCTTTGTATTGCTTTCCATGAATTGAAATTAAACTATTCAGTCATTTCAAGTGAGTCATCTAGCAGCCATTAGATAAAATAATTTCTCACTTAGCACGTGCATGAGTCCATGAGCATACTTCTTTTCTTCCTTCACAGACAGATATAAAAAGGAGAAAGAGAGTTTTCCTGCCATGGCTATTGCTTTGGAACAGCCTCAGCTGAGCTTCAGGTCAGCTTGAGGCTTATGCTTTTTTTCTTTTCTTCTTTTTTTTTTTTTAAAAAAGAGCCCATAGAATAAGAGCATGTTTAGAATCATCTGGTTTGTAGGGTGTGTAAGGCAGTCCCTAACTGACAAAATTTCCCACTTCTGTGCAAAAGTAATTTTCATGGTTTTCCAGTGGAAGATTCTTCCTCCTTCACTGGAATTATATGTTAGAGAATTGTTAGAAATGAGGCATCTGGTGAGTTGACCTTGGCTGGTTGCCAGGTGTCTGTCAAGCTGCTCTATCACTCCCCCTCCTCAATGGGGCAGGGGGGAGAAAATATGACAGAGACCTCATGGGTTGAGATAAGGACAGGGACATCACTCAGCAATTACCATCATGGGAAAACCAGACTCAACTTGGGGAAAATTAATTTAATTTATTGCCAGTCAAAATCACAGTAGGATAATGAGAAACAAGAACAGTCTAAAACACCTTTCCCCCACCCTTTCCTTCTCCCTGGAGTCGACTTCACTACTGTTTTCTCTACCTCCTCCCCCTGAGCAGCGCAGGGGGACATGGAATAGGGGTTGTGGTCAGTTCATCACACATTGTCTCTGCCGCTCACTCCTCCTCACGCTCTTTCAGTGTGGGGTCCCACCCACAGGAGACAGTCCTCCGCGAATTTCTCCAGCATGGGTCCTTCCCATGGGCTGCAGTTCTTCACAAACTGTTCCAGCGTGGGTCCCTTCCATGGAGTGCAGTTCTTCAGGAACAGACTGCTCCAGCGTGGGTCCCCCATGGGGTCACAAGTCCTGCCAGCACACCTGCTCCAGTGTTGGTTCCTTTCTCTACAGAGTCACAGGTCCCGCCAGGACCATGCTCCAGTGTGGGCTTTCCACAGAGTCACAGTCTCCTTCAGGCATCCACCTGCTCTGGCATGGGGTCCTCCACGGACTGCAAGTGGATATTTGTTCCACCATTAACCTCCAGGGACTGCAGGGGGACAGCGTGACTCACCATGGCCTTCACCATGGGCTGCAGCGGAATCTCTGCTCCGGTGCCTGGAGCACTTTCTTCCCTTTATTCTTCAATGACCTTGGTGTCTGCAGAGTTGTTTCACATATTCTCACTCCTCTCTCACAGCTGCTGTCACGGAGCAGTTTTGACCCTGTCTTAAATATGTTATCACAGAGGTGTTACCACTGTCACTGATGGGCTCACCTTTGGCCAGCAGTGGGTCCTTTTTGGAGCTGGCTGGCACTGGCTCTGTCTGACATGGGGACACATCTAGCACCTTCTCACAGAAGCCACCCCTGCAGCCTCCCCAAAACCTTGACATGCAAACCCAATGCAAGGTATTTGCTGAAATTTCATATGGCTGTGATCTGTGTCAGCCTTTCATAGCCTTCACCTTTCAAGTGGTGATAAGCCTTCACTGAACTAAAGTACTTACCATGTAACATTCCTGGAGATGGCTTAGGGTTTTGCTAATAACTGACTCTCGTGCATTAATTTCTTGAGGTTACTTGTTTAAAAACAAATAACTATAGAGGATACTCAGGATTGTATTTCTACTGAAGTAGTGTATCACACAGTTGCTTTTTAACTAACCAATCATTATTTATTTTTTTAAAGGAGACAGCTATCAGAAAAGAAGCAGAGATGGTCTTATTGCGGCTTTTATCTTTGTTTCAATTGTAGGAATTGGAATTGTAGGATTCCTATACAGAAGAGGTATGTATAGCATTTCCTAACTGAGCTTGACATGCTTCAAGTTTATACTGATCTAAGATTCTGTAGAATGTATGAAAGTTTCTGACCATGGCATGTATTGTAAATACAGTAGTAGAAACAAGTACAACTTAGGCAAAGGCTAAAAGGAAAGGAACGAACATACTGAACTTTCTTGAACTCAGACATTCTGGCTCTGTACTGGGAAACACTGTAGTTTGTATTTGCATATTTCTCCTTCAGACTGGGTGTTTTGTTTACTGTGTGTTTCTGCTTGCCAAGTATCTATGGCCTCTCCTATTTCTATCTGAGTATGCTTTCACTGCCTTTTTTGAGAGCATCATAAAGCTGCCCTCAAGATCAGATTTATTGCTGGGACACACTCTTACCAGGGCCTCTTGAATACCTTATGCTGAGTCTAATCTGACAACTCAGTACGCTCAACTGATACGTAGGGACTTCTGTGCCTCCTGTCAGCCTGTACTGCCATCATCTTGGAGTTCTAGATTTGTTTCTTGATTGATCCCTACACTGAATTCAGAGATCTTTTTTTTTGTAAATCTGACAGCTTATTCAGAAATGGTAATTGTAGGCTACCACTGTGTATCTCTTGCTGCCACCTTTTTAGGTAAATGTGTCAGATTGTATTCTGGCTTGAAAAAGAGGTGCACACCATCTCTTCTCTTTGTGTTTGAGAGAGTCCCAACCAGGAATATGTTGCTTCATCTTAAGGGTGCTCTGCATGGAAAATTCCTAGGGGGTCACCATTTGGGGGTGGCTGCAGGGTGAAGAGCATGGAATGCATCTTCTATCTGGGAGGGACTGATTAATGATATTCTGGAGGGAGGCTCTGATCAGAGCATACAAAGATGTATATTGCATGTGGACCTTATGCTTTCCTGATCATTCTCAGTTTAGTTTCTGTTGGCATGGAATCATGAAACAAACTAGGTGGGAAGGAATCTCTGGAGGTTTCATCCAACTTGCTGCTCAAAGCAGCACCAACTTCAAGCTAGATCAGGTTGCTCAGGGCCTTGTCCAGTCAAATTTTGAATATTTCCAAGGATGGAAATTACCCAGTCTCTTTCGGCATGTGGTCCAGCACTGAATCACCCTTGTGGGGAAGGATATTTTCCTTATTTCTGTTGGGGATTTCCCTTTTGCAACTTGCAGTCATTGCCTCCTGTCCTTTTGTTCTGTACTTCTGAGAGGAGTTTCCTTTGTTTTCTCTGTAAGTTAGTTGTAGACTGCAATTAGCCATCCCCTTAGCCTTCTTTTTCTTTAGGCTGAACAAACCCAATTCTCTCAGCACCTCCTTGCAAAACAACTGTCCCCTAAATATCTTGGTGGACATTTGCTGTACTAGCTTCAGAATGTCAATGTTTTTTCATTAATTGGAAACCCAAAACTAAACACAATACACCATTTGGTAGTGTCACAAATACTGAATCGAGGGGAAGAATTATTTCTGTTGATGTCCTGACTATGCTTCTGCTAACACAGCCCAGTATCTGGTAGGCTTCTGCTGCAAGGGTGCATTTCTGACTAATGTTCAACTTGTCACCGTCCGCCAGGGCTTTCAAGTCCTTTTCTGCAGAGCTGTTTTCTAGCTAGGCACAACTCAGCCTGAACTGCTCCATGGGATGATTTCATAGGATCATAGAATGGTTTAGGTTGGAAAGGACTTTGAAGATCATCGAGTTCCAGCCCCCCTGCCATAGACGGGGACACCTCCCACTAGACCAGGTTGCCCAAGGCCACGTCCAGCCTGGCTTTGAACACGTCCAGGGATGGGGCCTCAACAACCTCTCCGGGCAACCTGTTCCAGTGCCTTACAACCCTTAAAGTGAAAAATTTCTTCCTAATGTTTAGTCTAAACCTGCCCTCTTCCAGTTTGAAGCCGTTCCCCCTCGTCGTATCACTACATGAACTAGGAAAAAGTCCTTCCCCAGCTCTCCTGTAGGCACCCTTTAGGTACTGGAAGGCCGCAATAAGATTTCCCCGGACCCTTCTCTTCTCCAGGCTGAACAGCCCCAACTCTTTCAGCCTCTCCTCATAGGAGAGGTGC